AATAGACAACTGAGTCTATTACTAGAGACATCCCTATGAAGTGTACGTAGAGAACAAGAGGACAAAACTGAAGTACAGTAGCGGAAGCTAGTGCTACTTAAATAACAGGAATAGAGTTTAATAAGTATGAAACACTGAGTTGGATCAGTGATGTACATGAAACAGGTTTCACTGGGTTGTATCAGCAATGGAGATGAAACGTGATAGAGGTGAAACGTGATGTAAGTGAAACACGATGGATATGAAACACTGATGTAGGTGAAACACATCAAGTGATGGGATCAGTTGTATAGTACAGGGTCAACGACGAATGGTTAGGAAAAGAAAAGGAACCCCCCTCCAAGCTGTAACAGGGATGTCCTGATTGCATCATGATATCTATTGTTGTGTGCAAATTCTGCCAGTGGTAGGTGATGCATCCAGTCCATTGCGTGGTGATTGCAAAAGATCTGAAGATACAATTCCAGGTTTTGGTTGACACATTCTGACTGTCTATCAGTTTGAGGGTGGAATGCGCTAGAGAGGTTCTGTTTGATACCTAGTTTAGCATATAGTTCCCTGAACATCTGTGATGCAAACTGTGGTCCTCTGTCAGAAATAGCTTCGATAGGTAGACTAAATTGTCGGAAGACATGATTCTGATACAGTGTGGCAGTTTCAGATGCCGTAACTGTCTTATTGCATGGTATGAATACTGAGGCTTTGGTACAGTCATGATCGATTATTACTAGGCAGCTGTCAAAACCATCACTCTAAGGAAGATCTGTGATGAAGTCCATGGCGATGGATTAGAATGGAAGCTGATGTTCTGTTGTGATGGGAATTAGATCTGGTGAGTTCCTATGTGTGATAACCTTGTTTTACTGACAAGTTGCACAACCAGTGACGTATTCACTGACACCATGGGCAAGGGTAGGCCACCAATAGGTTCTTTGGAGAATCTCCTGTGTTTTGTATTGTCCAGGATGTCCTGTGGTAGGAGAGTCGTGGGCTTTCTGAATGAGATCTTGTTGGAGGTTAGTGTCCTTGGGTATGTAGACTTGCCCTCTGAATACCAATAAATCATTTTGGATGTCCCAATTAGGAGGAGTACGCTTGTCTGTGGACGAAGCATGCTGTAATGCCAGCCAAAGACTGTGATCAGTGATGTTATCCTTTGTTTTGCAGGTCAAGATGCATTGTTTGATGTCAGTATTGATAGGTTTGAGGTTCTGAATGGCCTGAATGAAGACTTCTGATGGAAGAAGGACTTCTTCCGTGGGAAGTTCACCCCCTCCTTCAGATGCGTCTTGGCCAATACGTGATGAGCATCTGCCTTACCCAAACAGGTTCCTGGGACGTGATGAAGACGATAATTGACCATAGACAGGTACAGTGCCCATCGCACTTGTTGATAATTCAATTTCTGGGGATCTTTGAAATACGTGAGATTCATATGATCTGTCAATACTTCCACTGGTTCAGTGCATCCTTCAATATAGTGTCACCAGGCTTTGAAACATCTGATGATGGCCAAGAGTTCTTGATCATAGATTTCATATTGTTGTTCTATGGGAGAGAAGAATTGGGATAGGAAGGCACATGGATGCCATCTTCTATCAGATTGTTTCTGAGATAGGATGCCACTGGAGGCTTTCAAAGAAGTGTCTGATTCTATTTGGAATGGTTTAGTAACATCAGGTTGAACTAGAAGCAGTCATGTCTTGAAGCATTCTTTGAGTTGATTGATGGCCTTGTCATGATCATCTGTCCAACTCCACTTGACGCCTTTTACCAATAGGTCAAATAGTGGTCGTGCAATTTTGGAGTATCCTGGAATGAATTATTGATAGAAATTGGCAAAGCCTAGGAACCATTGTAGTGCTTTGATGCTGTCAATCTTTGGCCAATTGAGTACTGCTGACACCTTATCCTTGGCCATTCCAATTTGACTTGGTCGGAGAATGAACCCAAGAAATTCAACTTCTGATACATCAAAGAAACACTTCTCTGGTTTGAGGAACAGATCTGCTTCTTTCAGGTGCTGGAGAACTATTTGAGTGCATTGTTGGTGTTCTGCATGATTGGTAGAATAGATGAGAATGTCATCTATGTAGATTACCAACCATCCTTCTAGTAGAAGATCTGCAAAGATGCCATCCATCATAGCTTGGAAGGTCGCCAGGGAATTTGTCATTCCAAAGAACATGATGGTTGGTTCAAATAATCCTCATGGAGTGATGAAAGCTCCCTTCCATTTGTCACCTTCTTTGATACGTACATTGTTATATCCTGCACGTAGGTCAAGCTTGGTGAATATGGTTGGTTTGGCAGAGGTGACATGATCCAGTAGATCTTCTACTCGTGGAATGGGGTAGGTGTTCTTGATGGTGGCATCATTGAGTTTCCTGTAGTCTTGGCATGGTTGTAGATCTCCTGATTTCTTGTTGACAAAGAAGAATGGAGATGCCATAGGGGACTTTGATAGACGGATATAACCTTTCCATAAGTTTTCCTCAATAAAGGTGTCCAACTCCTTGAGTTTTGCAGGTGATAACGGGTAAACCTTTCCTCATTGGGGTTTGAAATTGGCTTCCAAGTCAATTGCATGGTCCCAGGGTTTCTGTTCTGGCAGGCATTTGGCTGTGCTTTTGTTGAATACAGAAAGGAAAGTGTTCAGATATTCTGGAATATTACTAGCGAGGGTTTTGATTGCTTGTAGAAGTTGATCCCAACAAAAGCATATTTTCCCTGTGACCCAATCAATTGCTGGATTGAAACATTTGAACCATGAGAGTCCTAGGATGATTGGGTTCCTATCCAGTACTGTGGTGTAAGCTTCTATCTTCATTGGTTGTCCGGATAAGGATACAGTGAAGAAGACTTTGTGTTTAATGGCTGTGGCTTTATTTGGTGATCCATTGACATTGAACACAGGTCTAGGTGTGATGCTCTGGTGTTGGAGGCCATGATCTTGAGCAAACTGGATGTCAATATAATTTTCCATTGCTCCTGTGTCAAGCAATGCCTCAGTTGTGATGGTTTTGGTATAGGTTTCTAATATGCAGGGCAAATAAATAGATTTATAAGCTAATCTTGCCTGATATAGATAATTCCTAGTGCCATTACTTTGACTCAATGTCACAGCAGTCAAAGACTTCAAAAATCCTTCTCAGAGGAAATAGCTTGAATGTATTCTTTGGCTATCCCTTCCTCATCAGAGGAGTCCTTGGTTTCTTCCTTATCCTGATTGGAGATGTCGTGCATTTCAATTGCCCTGATGCAATTGTTTGGGCATTGGCGGCTTTGATGCCTAGGTTTGTGACATCTGAAACATAACTTCTTCTCCATATGTTCTCTGTGATCTTTATCTGACAGATGTCTGATTTGCTGATCATTAGTTGATGCTTCCTTTGATGATCCTTCCCTAGTTTCAATTGTGCAGTTGCAGCATACAAATTTGTTGCGATTAAAGGAGCGACCAGATGAAGGCATGAATAAAGGTTTATCACTAAAGATGTTGATGATAGATTGACAGATAGATTGGATGCTGTTCAGATATCCTACAGCCATGGTTGGCAATGGAGGCTGGGCAGAAATCTTGATCAATAATGCAGGAGGCACAAGGCGTTGAAGTTCTCGGATTTGCCCTAATTCATTTAGTCCACTGGCCTGCAACAGAGGTTGAAGGGTCATGACAAATTGAAGACTGTTTCTTCCGCACTTCATCCAAGTGCTGTTACAGCATGAGAGGGGGGTTCTTTTTTCTTTTCCTAACTATTCGTCGTTGACCCTGTATGTTAAGGGACCTGACGACTGGGGATCAGGAGTTCAACTGAAAACAAGA